ATTTGTCGTTTGTTATTACTGTAATCTTTTCTTTATCAATAATCAAGCTGTGTATGTTTACATTCCTGTTACAATACATTCTTTTAAACCTACAGTTTATGGTGTGTGCGTGTCTTAGCTGACCTACCGCTCGAGCAGTAAGAAGTGGGTGTTTATAAATACAGATATTTATTAATATTCATATTATTGTTATTCATGTTATGATTAGTTGAAATCACCCCCAATTTTTCTTACATACATAGATTGTTTATTGGCCAACAGCAGGGATGGGCTCACTCCAGCACTGGTGGAACTACACATTCCATGAGGCATTGCAAGATTCTCAGCCCCAGGCATGACTCCCAGGAACAGATGCATCATGGGATTTGTAGTTTCACCACAGTTGGAGGATCAGAGTTTGCCCACCCCTGGATTATAACCAGCTTTCAAAGCCCAGAGCCCTTTCATCAGCATTCAACACGACAAATGGGATTCCGCACCTGAAGCAATTGATCTGGATTTTGTGTCTGTCATGTACAGACCTCATACCCTACAACACAGATAGAGGGCCAAGAATCTTTTACAACTGAAGAGAAATTGCAGCTAAAGTCTATGACTGGCCTAGAATGTGGGAGCCAGCAACAACGTGGCTTTGCTCCGGCTGTAATTTGGAACAGAGGGAAGTTCTACTCCGACTAATATTTGTGCAGAAGGAAAATCGTATTCAAAACAAATTCCACCTGAATTTTGCTGATCTGTACAGTATTTACTCACGTATATGAACCGTTACAGATCAGAGTATTCTGTAGTGGGGAGAAAGTGACCACCACCATCCCCAAAACAAACGTTTTGGGACAACATGGCTACTATTTCCTGCAAGGAACCCAGAACAAATTAGATATGTTCTTCCACCATTATACAAGTCTCTTCCTGAATGGTTCATATTTGCAGAACTTCGGCTATAAATCGTTTTGATGCTTGTGGAATCTCACTGTGGAATAAATCTGAACAATGAGCACATTATAAAATCTGCTCAGGGAAATAAGGCGATTTAAGTGATCACACAAAAGGATAAGCATGCTGGGAAAATGGGGGCCAACAGAAGCCAGCCACAGAAATACAGGGTTTGGGGGATGGCTCCTACCCAGTCCGCATTGGGAGGACTAATGTAGCTATTACTACAGTACGAGTGAACGTCTCTGCTAAACCTGGGGTGGGCAAACTCAAGCACTCCAGCTGTGGTGAAACTACACATCCCATCATGCATACAAGTCTGGGAGCCATGCGTGTGGCTGTAAGAATCTTGTAATGCCTCATGGGATTTGTAGTTCAACAGCTAGAGGGACAGAGCTCTAAGCACACGTAAATAAAACAAACTTTAAATCAGAATATCGCTTGGCAAGATGACACCGTTATTTAAAGGCCATGTCACCTCTTCAAACAGAATTACACCTTTCATAATGACTAGAAGGCCTATTGTCCTTTCTGCCCAAGCCATCCATGGCCAACTTGAATCTGTACCTTCTCTGTTCAGAATTTCAAAAGTGCCCCAAGCCCCTGGCTTCCCATAGAGCCGTGCGACAAGCCTGCAGAGAACACTCAGGACTCCCCCCTGCAGCCAGCAAATAGGTGGAACATACAGCAAGAGGTGCAAATAGGTCAAAAAAGGCCATAAGCACATAGGTAACCATGGCAACCAGATGCTGGAGGCTTGTTGCTGTGCAGTAAAGGGTCCATTTCTAATGGTAAAACGTATGCAATGTATATCAGCAGAAGTCACTGTTACATGTACTCCTGAATCCGTAAGATCTCAGGGGAGGTACAAGTCACACAACCTATAGATTATACTAGAGTAGGACCAGGTGGCCAAAGCTCCTTAAAAATGATTGCCGACGCCTACCTTTTAGGTCCTCTAGTTCAGCGTTTTTCAACCACTGTGCCGCGGCACACTAGTGTGCCGTGAGATATTTTCGGGTGTGCCGTCAATTGATCACAAAAAGAAAAAATCTGCTGGCTCATGAATTCCATATGAATTTGCCCCCTCCCCCGGATGATACAATTAGAATAAACATTCCAAACACTGGACTGCGATCTCAGTTGAAGCCCCATCACGGTCCAACTAAGCATGGTTACTACTTGCACCTAAATTGGAACACGACTCCTAAATCTGTATGATCTCAGGGTACAAGTCACGCAATCTATAGATTATACTACAATACTAGGAGGATAAACGGTTTTCATTAACTAAGGCGCTAATGGCCGCCAGCTGAATGATCCACTTGCTGTTGCATAATCAAAGTTTAACAGTTTTTCCCACACAGACTTTGAGGGAAGGGCTGCTCATCTGAGGCTCTGGGGCTTCCACCACAAATATAGAAGACAAAAAGGGAACAGAGCACCAACATGTAGATTCTGATAAAGGGGCTTGCCCCTGAAACACGTCAATCTTGGCTGACTGTGGCCGGTGATGTGGCTGGAGGCAGCCATGGGAAATAGTCAGGGCGATACCATGTTGGGTTAACAGACAGTGTGGCCTCTTGTTTGTTAAAGCATGATGAAAACGTTTGCAAGTACATATATCCCTTGTTTTTATTTATTTTAATAAACGATTTTACACATGGAGGTGGGGGCTTTGCGTTTTAGAATAGGATACTTCTCAAACACTGGAGCTTTCCGTAAAGGCCTCTGGGCGCGGTTTAAACCATCCAGATCACAGCAATATCTCTTCTAAAAATCACCTTTAACCCCTTCATGACTGAGGCCCTTTTTTCCATTTTTGCACCTTGTTGTAGTAACCCAACACAATTAATTGAGATTGGTTCCCGAATTCCATCTTGTCCACCCCTGGATTATACTAGAATACACATTAAACCGGAAGGTTGAAGCCCCACCATGGCCCAACTAGGTGTGGTTACTACAAGCACCCAAACTGGAGTGACAAGTACTCTTAAATCTGTATGGATCTCAGGGAGGTACAAGTCAAACCCTACATATAATAGAATACTAGATCAAACTTCTGAAACATGGGACTGGAATCCCATCAAAGTCCAACTAGGCGTGGTTATTACTAGCACCCAAAATGGAATGAGACTCCTAAATCTGTATGGCTCTCAGGGAGGTACAAGTCAAACCCTATAGATTATACTGGAGTAAATAGAACACTGGACTGAAGCCCTCAGTAAAGGCCCCATCATGGTCCAGTTGGGTGCAGTTGAAACCATCAAGATCACAGCAATAAGATTTTTCTAGAATCACATTTAAATGTATTTGTTGCAGTAAACCAATACATTGAATTGATCTGAGAGCGGTTTGTATATAAAAGGATCAACCCAGAGCCCACATCTTTCCCAGCCACTGAATGAGAGCCTCGTAATCTCCATGCATTCCTGCCCACCACACCCATTTCATCAGTGTAACATCTACAATGCCATGGCAGAGAATCCTTGGAAACACAGCAAGTCTTACTATGGTACAGTCTATAGTTCTAGTACTTTACAGACACTTGACAGCCTGATAAATGCGTGTCTACGGTCACTAGATTCAGGCAGAAGACAAAGCAGAAGCAACAAAGATGCAGGTGACTAAAGATCACGGATAAATCTGACATCTTATACACCGTATGGAGAAGAGGCGTCCATATACACGAGGACATTGTCTGACCAGCTAATCACCGGGGAGAATATGGCTTTTCTCTGCTGGTCACATCTGTCCCCCAGAACAGCCACAGCCCTTCTATAGAGTGATTCGAAAATGTATTCCATGTAATGTGTTCAGCAGACCAGGCAATGCCGAGAAGTCTGAACCCTCTAGAAGAGGGATGTGATTACAGATGTCATTATGACATGATAGATATAACACAAGTCTTCACACTAAAGACAATAGGCTTAATTCACAAAGCTTCACACATGACTCATTAAACCTCAGCTGAAGAGAAATCACATCAGAATAGAAGGAATCCTCATGCCAGCTTTGTGATCGGAGCCTTATGGATGAAACTTGGGTGTGGTCATCAGGCAAAGACTAGACTACATGGTGCAGAGAATTAATGGGGGCTCATGTCTGAAAACTCGCCAGGAATGATTCATGAGCGATTTCCCATTCCCAGCCATCATCCAGGGAGAAATGCATTGAACCTCTTCGGATAGAAAGAAAAGCATCAGCCAACATTAACAACCACAGCCACAGCCCATGTACAACACTGAGTTACCAGAGCGCCCCCTAGTGAAGAGATGAGAGAATACACCCAAAGCTCTATTACCACTTAAGACACCCTGGCTAATAACTGATCAATACTCTGACTAATAATTCGTCAATTAAGACAACAGGGGACCGGGAGTTCATTACAATTAACTACAACTAACATGCTGCTCATAAGGACTCATCTGTCACTATCCAGTGTGGGTGATGTCCCCAGCAATCTTCCCCCATCCATCTACAGCTGGCACACCCATACAGGCTCACATTGTCAGGATGTCAGCCAGGTATAAAGCTCATCACAGACGTTACAACCTGACTGTACAATCTTATTCAGATCTACCAACTACTACATAGAGCAGGGTCCGATCTACCACCAATGTAGAGTAGGGTCCTGTCAGATCAGATTGATTGAATACAGTTCAATTAAACAGATCCTTATATTACACAGTGTTGGTAAATCCTTAGTTAATTGTATGGTCCAAATTGTAAAGGTGACCATGCACTGTGCAATCTGGCTGTACCATTTAGATCTGCCATAAATGTAGTGCAAGGAGCCGTCTGGTTTGATACAAAGTGAATGGATCGTTTAGGTGTGCCCTCCTGCATATCGGTTTGGTAAATCTAAAGGATTGTATAGGGTAAGGGTATAGGAGTGTATAGGCGGGTATGGCCATCTTTACATGTATGGTGACCCAAAGGGCTCCACAGGTGCCACAGAACTCCTCATCACGCCCCTTGCAGCAGACATACATAGCAGTGACGAGACATGGATTAGACACATGAGATCGGTGATGTGTGGGGTGATCGGAGTCGTGTCCACTCACCTGTCTGTCTGTCACCCCCTCTCCCAGCTCCTCAACGATGCCGGAGCACTCCATACCCAGGGAGACTGGCAGGGATGGCAGGCGTTTCCTCCTGAAAAATCAGAGCATTTCATCTTATCGCCATTGTCAACAAATTTTTTGAATGCCCCAAGTCCACATTCACCCCATGTCATGGGATAGTACACCCCATTAACCCCCATCATACCACAACAATAAACCTAAATAATAAACACATGACAAAGATTGTGAGAAAACTTTAGGCCGCGGCCCCTTTATTGGGTTCACATAGATGTTAATCATGAAATAACCTTTATTACCAAACTGAACCATTGTAAACCATGAACAGACCTCCATGCTTAGTGGTCGTTTGCCAACCACTGTCCACCCACAAAAGTGGGCGACATGAACCCATACAGAAAAAGGGGAAAGTGGTCGGGGGAGGGGAAGACTGAGGATAATCCAGAGGTGAGTCCAACTGCCAGTCCTGAGGTAACTGTTGACCCCGCCCACCCACAGTTGTGAATAGTGCACTCATTGGTCAGCTGTTTTCCCGCCAAAACATCTGTCACCAATCCTGTGCTTAGCTGACCGAAGATCTGCCCAGCGACCGAGGTAAATCTTCCTAGCAACAGCAGGCAGCTTGTAACCTAAAAGACAAAGCAGAAAGAACCAGCAAAGCCGCCCCAGAAAGACATGTACATAAAACTCACCACAGACCTTCTTTTGAATAAAATTAGTTTTAAATACACACGGGTGATAGGGGTGACACTCCCATGGGGCCGCTTTCATATTTTTTTTGTTTCGTGGCCCTAACATGCCGTAAAAGTATGCCAAACGCGGGAAAAACTGCATGCTTTGATGCACATTCAAAGAACGCATAAAAAACATGCAACACACTTGCAGTGCCGTTACCAGTTAACATCACCCTGAACACGGCCAGGAAACTTGCGTTTTAACACGCAGGACAAAAACGCAGGATGTATGTAGCAGAATTTCTTACATGAGCTACTTTCCCGCATTTGTCACACATGCAGGCACCCATTGAAATCATTAGGGGTGGGAGGCAAACACGGGGAAAAACCGTCCATGAACGCACATCACCGCGACACACATTCACAGAACATGATGGTGTGAAGGGGACTAAGGCCCTGTTAAGACGGGCGGTACAGGAGGTTGATCTACGGTTTTAATGCTCCTCGCTGCAATGTTAGCATTCTGGCTGGACAGTGCTGTATACATGGCTGTGTGTCAAAAACTATACAGCATGTGGCAAGTGGGGCGACATTCCCCTTGAAATCCAAAAAAATGGCATTCAGTAGGTGGCAGTATCATCTCCTGAAGGCCGGGCAGCTCTACCGCCCTGTGAAAAGTGATCCAACTGGGAAGGCCAAAGTGCAGTAGCAAACTTCCAATAGGAAATTGAAAGATTGGGCCCCCAGGAGGGGTTTGCCATAATGTGGTAGTATGTACAGCAGGGATGGCCAACTCTGGCCCTCCAGCAGTTGTAGAACTACAAGTCCCATGAGGCATTGCAAGATTGACAGTTATAGGCATGAGTCCCAGAGGCAGAGGCATGTCGGAATTTGTAGTTAAAGCACAGCTGAAGGGCCGGAGTTGCCCGCCCCTGATGTGTAGAATCCCAGAATACATGCAACAGTGACTGCAGCTGATTGCATGCAATTGGAAAATTCAATTTTCAGATGGAAGAATGGCAGACAGGAGGCTGATGAGAGGACCATCCGCTGAGGGAATTTCTCCATGAACCAGCCTGAATTCATACACTAAGGTGCATGCGGTATGTGCTGCTCGGTATATGGTGCCAACAGGCAGCAAATAATCTTTTACTGCAGAAGAAACTCAGCCACTGGAGTTCATAAAGAGAGTCTATGATGCTGTATAGAACTCCGTTGTGCATCCGCGCAACAAATGTCAGTGGTTGCACCAGATTCCTGTAGCAGTTGCAAACAGGTCGATGAATTTAGAGCAAGCATCACCATTGACGATGGGGAGGTGCAATGAGGCCAGCATGACTGAGCTCCCACCCAGACATGTTACACAGCCAAGTGCAATAGAAGATGACATACTGCGGGTGGGCAGAGCCTTATGGGGAATTCTGAGAACTTAGTTCCCCATTAGGTGCGCTCTGCTGCAGTTTGACAGTAGGCGGGTGCCATAGCCAATAGCAGGCTGGCTATAGCACCCGCCCACTGCCTGCTGTCAATCTGCAGCAGAGAGGACCTGATGGGGAACTCAGTACTCAGAATTCCCCATCATGCTCCACCCAATCGGCGTCACTGGTTGTTAAGGATGTTGTCAGCTACAGTCGGAAGTAAAACTAGACAGCTCCCAGCAAGCAGCTGAATGGGCTGAGAATGCATAATAGGTTGCTATGACTCTGGCAGCCCGGTGTCCTAGCAACCAATAAATGAGAAGCTGTCAGATTTATGACAGTTTCCAGCAAATTCATGCCCCACTCTGCACGCTGGTGTCTGTCTCTCTAATGCCTAAAACCTGGAATGCGCATTCGGATAAACGAACTGGAAACAGCGAATACTTCGTTTCAGCCTGATTATGAAATGACAACAACCAGTTTTCTCTTCATTACAGTGTTAGATCTTTAACCCCCCACCGACATCTGACCAATCAATGTCTCCCCAAATAATTTCAGGGATGTGCCCTCCCCCCCCTTTCCCCACACCACCATCCGCAGTTGGATGGGGGTGGAGGCACCTCCTTGAAATGATGGCAGAAGCTAATGCTGCCCTTGCTTCCTGCTATTTTTCTTTTTGTATTCTGACAGCTCCTGCCGGCAGAGTAAAAAAAAAAAAACAACAGATAGCATAGGAATGAATAGATAGATTGCTATTGGCTATTTCAATTTTTAATAGCCAATAGCAGGCTGGCTATTGGACCCGCCCACTGCTGCTGTCGATCAGCAGAGGAGGACCAGATGGAGAAATTCAGGTCCACCTCTTCTGATTGATAGCAGCAGGGGGCGTGTGCAATAGCTAGTCTGCTATTGGCTATTGCAAATTGAAATAGCCAATAGCAATCTAGCTATTCATTTCCATGTTGTCTTTTTTATTTTTTACTCTGATGGCCCCGATATCAAGATAAAAAAAAAACATAAAACAGACAGCAGGGAAAGGTTTACTTTCCATTACTGAGCTCTCCTCCTCCCCACTGCACTTGTCACACAGACACGCAGCAGCAAAGGACTTTTGCTGTGAGTGGACAAAGCCTGATGGGGAACTCTGACAGACTGGTTCTCAATCAGGCCCATCTTCCCTGTGATTGACAGCAGGCAGTGGGCAGATTCCATTGTCAATAGCCAGCCTGCCTGCTGTCAATCAGTTGCAGAATTGACCCGTTAGGAAACCAGTCCCTCAGCATCCCCATAATGTTTCAGTCACTGTCAGAGTCTGGTTTCGGTGGAGATTCAATAGCAAATAGCAGGCTGTCTAATGGCTATGGAATCTGCCTACTGCCTGCTGTCAATCACATGGGAAGAGGACGTGACGCGGAATTAGTCTGGGCTCCACCCGCTGTCAGCGCCATTGGTTGCTAAGGGGCTGTTGTCTATGCAGCTGACAGCATCTTAGCAACCAGTGACTCATCCTGGGCCCCACTCAGTTGTTGGCAGGGAGACTCCCAGGCCGACAGCTGAATGTAAACAAATGGATGGAGGATGCTGGCTAACATCATTACCAAATGTGACCATGACTATGAGCCTCCCGAACCCTTTGTTTACATTCAGTTACTACGGTAGCTGGGGTATCTCTGCAAGCAGCTAAATGAGGCCAGGGATAGATCATTAGTAGCTAGGATGCCAGCAGCCTGGCGCTCTAGCAACCAATGAACCATGAGCAGAAAGCTGTCACATTCATGACAGCTCATACATGCCCCACTCTGAGCACTGGCACCTCTCTGTATGCCAGATCAGAGTTGGTCTTTAATACCGTCAAAAAAACTCACAGTAACTCTTTTTTAATATTTTGCAGCCATAGAGACAGATTCTTAAAGTGGCAATTTTTCAAACTACCTGAATCTGTCGAAAGCGTTTAAGGACAACTATGAGGGGAGTGATTTCCACTCATCTTCATAGTTAGAGCCGACCTGTGACAAAGAAGCTGTCACACGTCACCTCTTTTGATCAGGAAGTGAGCAAACACATACCGTTCGCTCGCTCACTTTCTGATCATCTCCCTGCGGAGAGCGGTGACTGCCAGTCACCGCTCCCTGCAGGGATTCCCCCCTCTCCGATCCTCCAGCGCTGAGTGGCGGAACGAATGGGGAGGGGGCGGGCACAGCCTCCAGATAGGCAGAGCCAGCTGTCACTCATGCAGCTTTCCGGTGGTGTGGCAAAAAAGATACCCCCAAACCAGGGAGCCTTGATCTTTCCAGCTCCCTTGTCTACTCCTCCCATACTCGCCTCCAGGACTTCGGTAGAGTCTCTCCCATCCTCTGGAACTCTTTACCCCAACCTATCCGTCAATCTCCCACCTTGACTGCCTTTAGGCGATCCCTAAAGACTCATCTCTTCAGGGAAGCCTATCCCACCTCAACCTAACCACTCAACCATCACGTTCTCAAACAATTAATCCCCACGCAGCTACCTCCTCATGTATCACTTCTCCCTCCCTTTTAGATTGTAAGCCCTCACGAGCAGAGCCCTCCTTACCATCTTATCTTGAATTGTATTGGGATTTCAATGTCTTCCTTATATTGTAAAGCGCTGCGCAAACTGTTGGCGCTATATAAATACTATGTAATAATAATAATAATATTATAAATAGAAGCTGTGGAATTATGACCTTTGTGTTTACAAACCATGATAGCATTTCTGATTGACACATCCCTGCACATGACACCGTGTCAATATAACCCTGTGATCGTTGTACGGCAGGTTGGATCACATGCTACTCCCAAAACGTAAGGAGTCTTTGTGCTTGTCAGATATTCAGCTTCAGATTTGTTCACCTATAAATTTCTATATCATTAAAAACATTCATGAAACGTTTTTAATCCAAAACTGTAATGGGAATCCGGCTTTGTACAGTGATATGATTTATAGTGGAGTTGAAAGAGAAATGTGTTCGGTGAGTGATATCTGATGCTCTGTATGGGACGCCGGTGTTATGTCCTCATATTATCAATCTGACAAATCCTTCAATAGAGATTTGTGGGTGCAAAGATGAGCGATCCCATGTGTAGAATATGATCAGATCAAGAGTTTTTATATTTGGCTCTGATCATCTATTCCAGGGATCTCAAAGTACTGGCCCACGGGCCAATTGCAGCCCGCGAACCGGTACTATATGGCCCGCAGCCAGCTGGCAAGTCAGGTACACAGTCACTTGCATGAGCAGCTACACGGTCTGCATCTCTGTCAGATGCAGACGGCATAGCTGCTGCTGGCTGTGGGCTCAGTTCCTTTCGGCCGGAGCTCTGAGCTCCAGACCTTACTAAACATCATTGGATCACCGGGGAATGATGTGCCTCCTCGCCTCATCCCTGCCAAAACATGTGTTTGGAGTATATTGTTTTATGTGTGGGGGGTAGGGTTGCCACCTTTTCTTCAAGGGAAATCCGAACACTCTAGTGCCTCGTGCAGCAATTTTTTATTTTGTTTTGAAGAATATAGAGGACAGGCAGCCAGGGAAACCAGCTATAGAGGACTACAAATCCCAGCAAAACATTATACAACAATACAAAATTAAATGTAGCTACATACTTTGCGTTGTTTTCCCGGGGTGGCACCCTAATGTCCCAGGGTCTCAGGTGGCTTGTGCAGGCTCTCACCAGGGCTGTGTGGGCTCTCAGGTGGGCTGTGTGGACTCTTAGGTGGGCTGTGCGGACTCTAAGGCCCCGTTCACATTGAGCGATTTATCGCGCGGTAATTCCCGCGATATCGCGGCAATTTACCGCGCGATATCGCTCTCCAATGCAAGGCAATGGGGCAAAGGGTCCTGCTGTCGCGGGTCGTGCGTCGCTACAGCAGGACCCTTTTTGGAGCGGATTTTGCCGCGATTCCATTATTTGCAATGCAAGCATTTGCGCGATATCGCGCGACAAACGTGCGATTGGCAAATCGCGCAGTGTGAATGGGGCCTAAGGTGGCTGTGTGGGATCTCAGGTGGCTATGTGGACTTTCACGCGGGGTAAGTACGCTCTCAGGTGGCTGTGTGGGGGTCTTAGGTGGGCTATGCGGGCTCTCAGTTGGCTATAGGGGATCTCGGGTGTACTATGCAGGCTTTGATGTGCGTTGTCTCACCAGGGGTCCAGAGACGGGCAACATGACAGAGGAGATGTGTGGGCCGGCCTGCGCTTGCTGGGGACCTCGGCACCCACATCTGTCAAAAAATTGAAAGTGCTGGTATTGGCATTTAGCGTTTTAATACATCCGCCTCAGTAGCCCACTCTCAGAATTCTTTATGGTATCATGGTAGGGGCACAGGACACTATTTTAGAATGTTCAGAGTAATCTTCTCCCTGTTAGCAATTTTCTCCAGCTATCCCATTCATTTCATCTCCCTTTATCCAGAGCCACAGACTGCAAGAGGGAGATAGTGTTGAAAGGCAAAGGGAAGCTTGAGTGCATGGCTCACATAATTCACGCAGACAAGGTGATTAAGCATTCTATCTAAATGAAATAGTGAACCCGTAGCGCAATGAATAACACAGGGAATGACACGGCTTTCCCTCGCAGGAGCTCTATTTTGCAAGTGCAGCTCCAGAGGCAGGGAATTAAAAAAAGTAGTCCTACCGAGTCACAGCCCATTACCCCAACCCTTCAAGCGCCCACAGCCACGGACCTGTAGCCGCCTATGAGAGCACTGAGACTCCCACTGACAGCCGCATGCTCCTGCCGGTGTTCTGTCGATTGGGCCGATTGGGTCCTCCTCCCTTCACTCAACACCAGGGCCCTGGGGTTGCCCCTGTCCGACTGAAATTGTGACATCTTGTGTCCAGGGCCCTGCTGGCCTGAATCCCGGACAAAAGATTCCACACCCAGACTGTCAGGACGAATCCCGGGACAGATGGCAACCCTAGTGGAGGGGGGGGAGGAGCAGAGAAAAGGGGAGAGCAAATTATTTTATGTGTGGGGGGCGGGGAACAGGGGGGAGCATGTTATTTTGTGTGTGAGGGCGGGGAATGGGGGGAGCATATTCTTTTGTGGGGGGGCGCGGAACGGGGGAGCATATTCACATTTGTATGTTTAGGTGCAATTAAAGATTTCTGCGTCAGGAACTTGCGTTTTCCTGCAGCAGGAATCCCTAATGTGACGTTTGCATGCAGCAGCTGTCACCCATTCAAGTTAATGATGAGGTGACAACTGATGCATGTAAACGCCTGCACAACGCATGTAATTGTATCGTATGTAATATGATTACACGTGGTTAAGAATCATTCTCCCTGGACACATTGATCGTGCATTCAGGGATAATGATTTGATTCCTAACCACATGTAGCCATATTAGATGCGTTGTGCAGGCGTATACATGTAGCGGTTGTCACCTGATCATTAACTTGAATGGATGACAGCTGCCGCATGTAAATGCCACATTAGGGATTCTGGCTGCAGGAAAGTGCAAGTTCCTGACACAGGAATCCTTAATCAAACTTACAGGTGTGAATGGGGCCTTATTGTATGTAAATCAGTGTTTGTAATTCTGGTTGTGCAAATTTCCGTTTGTGTGTATTTCTATGTGTGTGTATCTGTGTGTGTGAAGTATGAAATTTGGCAAGCGGCCCCCACGGGAGAAAAAAATGTGTCCAGTGGCCCCCGAGTGAATTGAGTTTGAGACCCCTGATCTATTCCATATAACCAGTAGTAATCAGATATCTGTACATTTAGCTCAGTCATGGAAGGATATTTCTATATTCACAATGTTACCTTTTCATTTATGTTTTGTAAAGAAATATTCTGGCATTTGAGGGGACGTTTGGCACATTGGTTTGGTCCGTCCTTTTCCATTTTTGTAATACATTCGGCTTGGTGTCCGGGAGGTGTAATGTGCTCGATCGTTCAATAGATGAATCTATGTTTTCAATGATGGATGTTGTTTGCGTTTATAAAAAATTCTGTTTAAACCTGAGCCTGCTGTTGTTGTTTTTGTCTTTGTTTTGTTCAATGTTCAATATTCTGACTGTTCATATGTACAGAACCTCAACAAC